GTTGTTTCCTGGGACCAGTGCGAGGCTTAGGAACAGTGAACTCTGTCTGACTTAGCATTTCAAAGCAACAAGCTTCTGACGTTCTTCTATACCTCAGGAGCAAGATGTCTCCCTCTATGTGGCAGCTGGATTTTCTTCATCCAGCTTGTGTTGTAGATACAGACAACTGGCTCCAAAATGTTAATCATGGCACTGGCTTACAAATGTAGCTGTTCCTCCGTGGATGCAGCTTATTCTGGAGTAGAGGAGCTAGCTATAAATTTTTTGGCTTGGTTATGTGCCTGCAGTACTCAGAACAGGCTGTCTGTTCTGCTGAGGAGCAGCATAGATGTTCCCCAGGTCATACCCCGTAGTGAATATTGGTTTATACAGATGTGAATCGTGAACATCTCCTAGTGCTACATAGCGGGGAGGCGCAAGAAGAGATCATCCAGCAGGGACCCCTGGGCTCTTTGCAAGTCACCAATAACTAATTTGTGGATATAGCTTAGGAGCTGTTGTATGAAGCTTTTGGTCATCTTTGTGTGCTACACCTTGTATTTGGCACATTGGGAACTTTTTGTCAGTCCTTACTACCCAGAGTTACTCCTTCAGGTCTGCCACTTCTCCTGTAACTGTGTTTCTTCATTGGCTGGCCTAACGTCTCAAGACGTCTTACACCAGTATCAAATCACAGCATGGTTGGAATACTTGGGTGATAGGGTCGTCTGTCATTGTTGAACAGCATCAACAAGAAAATGAGCAATATTTCAAACTGGAGCAGAATGAGAACAGGCAAAACAAGAAGGGATACTGTAAACTTATGAATCCCTAGCAGGGAGGTGGCTATCCAAGCCCTGAGCCTCCAGAGGGCTGCATGTGCCAATACCATGTTCTGTTTGAAGATCACAGAATCACAGAATGGTTTGAGGTTGGAGGGGACCTCTGGAGATCATCTGGTCCAAAATCTCTTGGTGAGAGCCAGGACACAACTTCCTCCTACTCTGCCTAAGTCTTGGAGGGTTTCATTGGATTTGGTTGGATACAGATAATTTAATAAACGATACTTTCACTTTACTTCCACAAATACAGAGATAGTGGCTTTACAGCAATTTGAACTAATTTTTAAAGACTCTAAGTAACTTAGTAGTCATAGCAATTGAGAAAATGCCCTAAATTATGCTCGGTTTAGAAAATCAAAACTTGGAAATATTTGTCATTGTATTCAAGATGTTTTCCGTACTGCATTTCAGCCCAGACTAAATCAGCAGTGGACGAAGAAGTGGGAAGAAAAATGTAATAGAACTTGTAATAAAATGGCAAAACCCAGCTTAAAGTCATGACAACCACATTAGCAAAAAGGACCTTGTCACCTGCATCAAGTGCTTCCTTTTCCAACACCATGGCACACCCCATCTCACATTCCCTCTGAGACACAGGTGCAAAGGAGATGGATGGTTTGATGCAATTTATCCATGCAGCCAAGAAATAATGTTCCCTTCCCTGCGGTACAGGCAAGTCCAGTCATGGATTATGTGCTTGGCTTTCCTCAAGCCACAGCCTCCACTCATGTTGGTACATGGTTTCCCAGTACCAGCCTTGACTTGTCATCCAGGTGGCAAGTTGCCCCATCACCTCTTCCCAAGCCTCAGTCACATTTCCAAACAGAGGGCAGTCTCCCAGCCTCACCCTCTGGCTGCCTCAGGTTTTTTTGGGAGACTTCTCCCAAGTATTTCCAGTGCCACACCATCCCAGCAGGATGTGCTGCCCAGCTCTCAGCTGTACGGGTACCTCTGTCTCAGCAAGCGGTGTCCCTTGTGGGGCACTCATTTTGGTCACAGCCAGCACAGGGGCTCCACTGAGCTGCAGCATTCAGTAATTTGCAAGCACATGGTTGGAAATAACTCATTTGAAGTTTACTTGTAGAAAAAGTGTAAAGGAGTAAAGTGTTAATGGGAAGCTTGTAGCCCTTCTAGATATACGAGGTTATTCCTGTATGAGGACTCCATAACACTGTAAATTCCAGGGTTATGGGTGAGTAACTGAGACTGGAATCTGACCCCTTATGTCTGAAAAATTCCTTAATTGTTATTAGGATGGAAATAATATAAACCATTATTTTAAAATAATACTGGCTGGGCTTGGGAAATTCACATTCAAATAGTAGGAAATGGTAATTTTAAGTTTACCAAGCAAACGTCATCTTTCTGCAGAAGTGCATATCTTATATTCAGTAAGGCAAGGTTCCTGGGGAAAATGACAAGTGTAATTAAAACCTGCCTCATCATGCATGCACACAGGGGAGGGCAAGCTGTGACTGTAATGGTAACTGCTCCTAGCAGGTGTTTTTCTTTTAATATGGGGTATTAAAATGAAACTTCCTGTGTCTGTTAACCCAAATACTCTCCTGTATGCTTCTAACAGTGCCTCTGTGATGTGTTGCAAACAAGGCTGAACTTGAACTATATCTTTCAGAATAAACTTTTGTCTTCAGAGGTACAAAACTGCCTACCTTAGCTGAGACTGTTACAGGGACCTGGAGCACTGCTGATGCTGCAAATTCTTTTGCACTGTGTAGCTCTGGAGGTTGTTAGTTTTCCATGCTGAAGATCTCAGGCTCGTTACGGCGTGATGGGGATCCTCCACAACTAGTGGGGGAGAGGAGGAAACACTGCCAGAAGCGCTGTCATCTGTTGCCTGCGACTGTGAGAGGATGAATGCGATCAACTACATTTTTCATAAAAAAAGAGTCACAGAAGGGGAGGTGGCAGAGCTGGAGGCAGGCACCGGCTTGGGAGGTGGTTGGAGATAGTCTGAGCCTCATGTGTCACCTCAGAAGGGCAAGGTGCTGGGTCTGAAAGAGGAGGAAGCTTGGCTCCACTCTTCCCCCTGTGATACTTCTGGTTCCCAGGCATCCCCAGTGCTGTGAGACTACGTGGGCTTTTATGACTTTTATTTCAAGTTCATTTGTTATTTGCTGCCAGAATTCTCCCAAGGAATGTAGACAAGAGGTGGTAAATGGTGATTAATTTAGACAACCTAAGTGGAGAACTCACGGTGGGCTCCGCATGTAATACAAGAAAGTTAATGGCTTGCTGATGTCCTTTTGTGAGTGAATGGTGTAGCCTGGTTGTTTAATGGAGTGTTTAAAAATTGTGTTGGCAATAGCCTATGAATAATGTATACAGGAATAATGAAATACCTTACTGCTAAGAAACTGCTGATATGCCGAGGAACTTCCCATCAGATGTGAGAACAATTTTGAAAGCACTGTCTTCTTGGGATGCCCTTTATTTATGGTCTTGCTGCTTCAGAGATTGCATTCCATTTTTAGATACTGCATGTGAAGATGCCCTCCACTGCCTCTGCCTCTGTCTTCCAGCTTCACCTGATTCCCTTTGCTTCTGCCTGTAAAAGCTCCTGAATTTTGATGAGTTTAGGCTTTATTAAATGATCACTGTAAGCACAGAGATATTTGCTGTGCAGCCTTCAGCCATTCTAGGTATCTGCAGCAAGGCACGTTGCATCTAAAGAAAATGGACACTGGTTTCGTGTCATAGCAATGTCCCATGATACAGGAAGCAGAAATAGGGTCAAGTGATTTGGAAAAAAAGACCAATTTTTCTTTTGCAGTTTTTTGGAGCATGGGCTCCTTGCATGAGATAAGCAAACCCAGAGTGTCACACATGGATGTTCAGATTTTGATGGACTTTGCAGTGTGAACCCAGCTCTGATGCCTCTAAATTTTCCCCTGTGTCCTCCTCCAGTGCATGAGGCCTCTGAGTGCTTTGGCCACGAGAAGTGGGAAGTTGTTGTGATACTAAGCAACTAAATCTTGCTTGACCAAAGAGATTAGAAGATGGGAGTGAACCCCTGCTTGTGGGGGAGCTCTGGAGGTTGCACTACCTGAGCTGCAGGAGGAAACAAGCCTCCTAAAAGATCCCAGGACATAGCTCATCAACAGTGCAGGCACATGAGGCAATCACAGTCTCTTCCTTTGCTCCTTGTTTTGGCCCTTGCCTACACTCCAGGAGAAAATAAAATCATAGCTTTTTTTTCTCATGTGGGGTTTTTCACACCTGCATTAAAATGCAGAAATGGCACAGGAGGGCAGGTGAACACAGTGCGTATCTTATCACTGTCCAGAGTGGTCTCAGCTAAGTGTATGGTAAGAGCAGACCCAGCCTGTGGAACGTGTAGCTATGCGCCCTGCCTCTGCTGTGGCTTTGTTATGAGTAGCCTAGTGCTCATGCTTCATTTTTGCGTCTGGATTTATGCAACAGAGCCCTGAGTCAAAATGTTTCCTGCAATATGTGCAGTATATTATTAGTGTAATGCTAGAAGAAAGCAACATGTGACTGATGTCAATATTAGTCAGCCGAGGAAGTGACATGCTCACCTGGAAGGTTGATGTGATGGGTTTTGAAATCATGTGGTGATTCCAACAGCAAGCTCCAGGCATGAGGCTACAGGGCAGCAGAGAGAATGGGTTAGAAGAGAGGTTGTATCCTCAGGGTGATCTGCAACTGGCTAAGAGGATTCACCAAAACGGGAGGGAAGATTTGCACTTTTATTGGCTTGTGTGCTGCTGGGATATTCCTGGGGAGTGCAGTATTTTTGCAGCTACAGGAAAGGAGGTGTGTAAAAGGTGTAAAGTAAAAGGTGTAAAAAGTCTAAACGCAAGGTGGCAAGGACCACCGAGAGGAATTAGACTGATGGCCTAAATGTTTTCAGTAGAACACATAAAGAAAAAAGGTGTCTAAAAATTCCTCCATCTCCACCATCCAAAACCCATCCTGCCAGCCAAGAAGTGTTTTCAGCAGTGGGGGTCACAGAGGTCTAGGCTGAGGATCATGGTCAAGTTCAACCAGCCTTTCTCAGGGTAGAAATGCTGCTAGCTGACAGTATACATGAAAGAGCAGCTTTCAAAAGGAAGGAGACAGTTCTGTTATGCAGTTTATTCCACTGATGCTTCTGATGATCATATTAATTTCTCTTTTTTTAATGTTTGTTTCTTTTAGGTGAAAAGTGAAGGCCCCAAGCTGGTGCCCTTCTTTAAAGCCACTTGTGTCTATTTCGTCCTCTGGCTGCCAACTTCCAGCCCCTCCTGGTTCAGTGCCCTCATCAAATGTCTGCCCATCTTCTGCCTGTGGGTTTTCCTTCTGGCTCATGGAATTAACTTCTTAGTGTCACACCGGAGCGCCAGCCGCATCCTAGCAGGACTCATATTCTCAGCAGTGGGAGACGCCTTTCTCATCTGGCAGGAGCAGGGCTACTTCATTCATGGTGAGTGCGGTGTCAGTCCTAAAGGGATGCCACAGTGTCCAGCTGTTACCCTCTTTATTTAGTAATGAGTTGCTGGGCCACATGTTTTGTTTAGTCATGTACAGCTTAAGCCCCAGGCAGTGGGAAGCCCTCATCCCTTGACTAAAATCCATCATGGTTAGAGGAGTCACACCATGGATGAATCATTCTCTTGAGCTTCTCCTGAGGTCAGAGAGGTAATGGGGGCAGGTTTGGTACCTTGGCACATGCTCACAGCATCTCAGCTGACTGGAGCTGGGAAGTTGGCATGGGCAGAATCCCTGGGGAAGAGAAGGAAATGCTCATGGCACTTGGCAGCTCCCATGAAGCTATGGGAAGTATCTACCTCCTGTCTCTGCAGGGGGATCTGTCAGTCCTTTGCTACAAGGATCAGAAATAGGACACATGGTGCAAAGGTCCTCAGTGGAGAACAGGTGGAGGGGACCCTTATGTTTTGATAGACAAGCCCGTAGTCTGGGGGAGGTGTTTAAGTGGATGCTAGAAACCAAAGCATCAGAAATCTTGTCCTACTTGCAGGTTCATCAGTATGAATCATGCAACCTCTTGTATAAGACATGTCTGTTTTGCATGACATGTAAGTGATGGGGAATCAAGGACAAACCTTACCACAATGGCCTGTCTTCTGTACAGAAAGATCCGCATCTTGGCAAAACAAACTTGTTTTATTTTGCTAGTTTGCAGACTAGAATATAATGATTTAGATTAATTGTTTCAAGCCATGTTGAACCTGCCTGCAGCAACACTCTCCCTTGGCCTTGGACTGTCACAAGAGATCAGCAGCAGCTGAGACCTTCACTAAAATGACTGGTGGGGTTTCTGAAGTTAATTTAACCAGCACACGGATCTCATGTAAAATCCACCATTAACTGGCTGCTGTGATTGTCCCACTGGAAAATGTGATGAGACGAGGGAACTTTTCTGACTTGTGCTGTTGTCAGCTCTGAAAGTCAAAGGCTTATTTTTGCCCCTTCTCATGAGGTCAGTATTTAGTTTTATTCTGGGATTCCCACAGGATCTTTCTTTATGAGAGGGAAGTGTGTGAAATGCCAGATATGAAAGGCCAAATGCTCTGAATCTGGTTTTAATCCTGCTTCCCAAGGGCTTATCCCAATCTCATTAACTGTTCATGTAAAAATTTTTACTGATTTTGGTGGGGTTCCGATTAGGCGCTGAGGATTGGATCTATCTGGCTGAACCTTGGGCATGTTGCTGAGGAGCTCTGGCCTCCTCCTGGCGTGGCATCCCCTCTGTGCTGAGTATTGGCGTTCCCACCGACGGGCCTCCTCCTAACAGGGGTACCTGGCTCAGCGCAGGTTGTCTCAGCCCAACTGCTTGTCCTTCATTTTTGCCTCCTGGAGTTGCTCCTTGAGCTGCGGCTTGGAAAATATTCAAGGCCTGATTCCCACCATGACCGTTTTTGTACATGGACTGTTCTGAGCCCCTCCATTCCCATGTACCTGGCATATCTCAGAGCTGCCTCTCCAATTTAGTGTTAGAGGAAGGTCAACCAAACAGCAATTCGGTATCTGGCTAATGTGTTTTAATCTGCAAATAAATTGGATTTTCGACCCTAGTCTCACAACTGAGAAGTGTTGCTTTGTGGGTTTAGACACATTATTCTTCTTAAAGAGAAGAAGAGCTCTCTTGGAGCATTTTGAAAATCTCAGCCTTCATCCTGGCTGTCTCCTGCCTGCCTCAGTCCATGCTAAACCGAGCTACTATCTTCCGTAGTGAAGCGTTAACGTTTGTGTTTCAGTTGTCAGCAAATAAAACGCACCACCCCACTCCATGCTTCACATCTCCTGCAAAATGTATTTTTTCCTATTTAAAACTCAGTAGGCTGCTGTTATTGACAACTGACAATATTCAACCTTTTGACATCCTCGTTTGTGGGAATTTGAAATTTCAGGAGAATAAGAGGAAATGCTAGGTAAAAATGTACTGTCTGTTCAATTTCTACAGTTTTCAGGCTGAAGAAAAAAGGGTTGGGAACTGGGCTAATTTGAATAGCTTTTGAGACAATGAGTTTATAAAAGGACATTTGTTCATTACTTTACAGGGAAGTGAGAGCCTGGGAACCTACTCCTGGCACACTTGACTTTGTTTCATTTTTGCTGTTTCAGTCTACGAATAACACGCTATTTTCTGACTAGTATCTTACTGCATGTAGAAGATACTTTACAGTGTTAACATCCACCTCCCTTGCTAGCAGGCACTTTGAAACAATTTATGCATTCGGTGAAGAGAGGGACTAACACAAAGGACTTATTGCCAGCCTGAGAGGAGACTCCAGGGGCAGGGAGGGGGAAGGAACTGGACAGAGAGGAGAAGGGCTGATCTGCCTGATGTGGTTGGGAGGGCCGAGCCAAAGGCTGAGAAATGCAAGAGAAATGCATCCCCCTCCCTGTGCAGCCGTCACAGGTTTCCCCAGTTCCTGGCTTGATTTGTGGGTGTTGAATGAGCAAACGTGGGAGCCGACTCTTGTTTGTCACCAGCCTCGCCACGCATCACAAAACTCCTCCTGCCTTCCTGGGCTTCTGCTTGGCTGCCACATCCTGTCCTCCTGTCCTCCTCCTCCTTATTGCCAGCTGCCTGCACAAAGGACAACGCATTCTTCCCTTTCCCATCCCAGAACTCTCCATACAATGCTATTGAAGGAAAAAACACTCCTCACTGCTAGGGTGAAGTAACCTTCTCCTGACTGCCCCCAGGGGTCTAACTTTTCCTGCACTATAACAGTATGAACAGCTCTTGTCCTAAGTCCCTCCTCGGTTTCCTCAGTGCTGTGCACATGACGTGTAATAACTCTACGAAACATCAGCTTCTCGTTGCCCTCCTGTGCACTTCTTTTCCTTCCCCTTCATTCTGTCCATTTTCTCCAGCCTCACCTTGCAGACCAGATCCCTGCCAGCCCCTTCCTTCCTGCAGGTTCCTCTCTCATCCCACCATGGCTGAGCTTTCAGTGGATGTCTGATCTGGTCATAGAATCGTTTAGGTTGGAAAAGACCTTTAAGATCATCCAGTCCAACCATTAACCTAACACTACCAACTCCACCACTAAACCAATTAAGGGTAGAATAGTAATTTCATGTTTCCCGGCTTGGTGGCTGGATTATTTTTAATGAAAGTAAAAACTAGGAATCATTAAGGTTGGAAAGGATCTCTAAGATCATCAGTCCAACCACCAACCCAATACCACCATGCCCACTGAACCGTGTTCCAAAGTGCCATATCTACATGTTTTTTGAACACTTCCAGGGATGGTGACTCCACCACCTCTCTGGGCAGCCTGTTTCAATGCTTGACTACTCTTTCTGTGAAGAAATTTTTCCTAATATCCAATCTAAACCTCCCCTGGTGCAGCTTGAGCCCATTTCTTCTCGTTCTATCGCTAACTACTTGGGAGAAGAGACCAACACCCACCTCACTACAACCTCCTTTCAGGTAGTTGTAGAGAGCAATAAGGTCTCCCCTCAGCCTCCTCTCCTCTAGGCTATACAACCCCAGTTCCCTCAACCGCTCCTCATAAGGCCTGTGCTCCAGACCCTTCACCAGCTTTGTTGCCCTTCTCTGGACATGCTCCAGCACCTCAATGTCCTTCTTGTATTGAGGGGCCCAAAACTGGACACAGTATTCAAGGTGCAGCCTCACCAGTGCAGGGGGACAATCATTTCCGTGATCCTGCTGGCCCCATTATTCCTGATACAAGCCAGGATGCTTTGGCCTTCTTGGCCACCTGGGCACACTGCTGGCTCATGTTCAGCCGGCTGTCAACCAACACCCCCAGGTCCTTTTTGGCCAGGCAGCTTTCGAGCCACTCTTCCCCAAGCCTGTAGCGTTGCATGGGGTTGTTGTGACTGACATGCAGGACCCGGCACTTGGCCTTGTTGAACCTCACAGAATTGGGCTCAGTCCATTGGTCCAGCCTCAAAGGCAGGGAGACACTGCCCCTTCTTTGAGCTGCCTCAACACAGGAGTATTAGGATGAAGAAATGTCTGCCAGCAGCAGGTTTTAGTGACTGCCCTTTACACCACAGCATCATGCTTTAAATGTAAACCAGTGTCCTGCTGGAGGACTCAGCTTCCTGGGTTGTTTTTCTCCATTTCATGCTTTAGAGCTGCATGAAAACTCCCAGCTACTCTAATAACCCTGCCAGGATAAAGCGGGACAGCCTGCAGCTGCATCGTGTGTGGGTCTGGGAACCAGAGGACCAGAGGAGCTGGACTCCATTTGGGGCCCATTATCTACAATTGGCACAACTAGTAGTCAGCAGCTGTACCAACACATTGTGACATTTTTTGTCAAATGGGTTAGTGGCAAGTGGCTAACATATGGGCAGTACCTTCCAACACCCACATCTGGCATTTTTCAGGGGTATTGCACTTCAAAGGGAAGCCGGCATTTTATTTTCACTGATTGACTCCAGCTAAGGTTCATCTGAATCTTGCAAATAGCCATAAAATTGTTGGCAGATCACATTGGTGCAGTCCCTGAAATATGCCAGCTGCTTCTTTCCAGCTTAGGTTTCTCCTAGCTATGGGCAGAGATGGAGTAGAAGCCAGACTTAGTGCCTGAGTGTCTTTGAGTTTCTGGCTAAATACAGTCAGGCTTTGTGTCTGGGTTTGGAGGGATCAGAATCTTTTTTCACATTCTGTTCCTACACTGCTCTGATTCCAGCCTTCCTGTTCTACACATGACCCATGAGCAAAACTTTGGATAGTTAGAGGGGATGATCTTTGGTCTGCCTTGCCCCCACCCTTCTGCCCAAAGCAGGGGAGAAGGAACCACCTGAAAAACAAGCTTTGCTCCTTCTGCAGCAGCTGAGTTCACCTGGCTTCTCAGCAAAAAGGCTTGCATCACAACAGAGCTGTACTTGGCTGCAGTTGTAGATGCACTGGGGCTTTTCCTTAGGGCAGGAGTTTGGTGCTAAGGCTGACTGCCTGGGCACAGATTTTTATATTCAAATGCTCCCAAGTGGTCAGTGTGGTTCCCACTGAAAGCGTTAAGGGTTGTAACACTGCAGGTACGTCTAAGCCTGTGCTTGTTGTGGTATATTTAAAATCCAATATAGCCACATGTTTTCTTATGCTACTACCTGCCAGTCACTGGTGAAAGGTCACACTTGCTATGTCAATGCTTCTTTCCAGGTCTGCTGATGTTCGCCATCACGCACATCCTGTACTCTTCAGCCTTCGGCATGAAGCCTTTGGACCTCAAAGCCGGCTTGTTGATGGGCCTTGTTTCCAGTTCCTGTTATGCCTTCCTGTACTCCTACCTCTCAGGCCCATTCACCTACCTGGTAGCTGTCTACATCGCCTTGATTGGCTTCATGGGCTGGCGAGCGGTCGCTGGCATGCAGCTGTGCAACGACCTCTGGACATGGACCAAGCTCTCGGCCTGCATCGGCGCGATGCTGTTCATGGTGTCGGATCTGACCATTGCACTTAACAAGTTCTGCTTTCCTGTGCCCTACTCGCGCTTCATCATCATGGCTACTTACTATGCAGCCCAAATGCTTATTGCACTGTCAGCTGTAGAGAGCAGAGATGAAGAGGACTTCAGAAAGAGGAGCTAGGTGGAGTGCCAATAGTCTGTGAACAACGTGGGTTATATCTCAGGTGCTGTAGCTGCATTCACCCCTGAGAGAGATCTCCATTTCTCTAGGCACATTGGTGATGTTGATTTTGCTTCTTTGAAGCATTACCTTTGGGGCTTTTTTTTTCAATGGCTTTCTCTGAATACAGCTTACTTCAGCGTGGAGTCCACATCAGAAAGCTTAGACTGTCCCTGCAGTAGCTACTCATTCAACTTTTTGTCCTTGGAAGTGGTGTACTACTGCATTTTACTTGTTAGTCTTGAAACTGATGCTGGATGTCTGGGAAGAGGAGGGCTGATGGAAAGGAGGTTTGGCCATGCACTGTGCTGGAAGACTTGCTTTCAATACTAGGCAGACAGGCACAGATCTCTGCTGAAGTCCTGGGTGAAAATTAATTTAATCGATGTTTGTCTCTTTATGTGCATTAGAAAGTCAGTACACAAACTGGAGCTATTGCCTCTGCTGAAAGGAAGCCTGGAGGTAGAGTAAAAACAGCATATGCAGGTGAGGGCTGAGCTCTGGAGTAAATGACAGCATGTGGGGCAGCCCCTGGCAGAACCCGAATGAAAGCAAAACACCAAGCAGAGAGCACGGAGGAAGAGGTGCACTGACATGCAGTGCTGTGTGCTTTGATTGCGGCTGATCGCTGCTCCAGGGCAGGTCTGTAGGTGCCTGTCAGTGTTGCTGCGTGTGGCAGAACTAGGAGTTTGGTGGGATTTCAGGGACATCTAGGTAGCCAGGCCAGTGCGTTCTCCCCTGCCATGCGTGCGCAGTTACACAGTGTCTGCAGACACCAGTGATAGCTGAGATGTAATGGGCACGTGAGGAACTTCGATTTTTACAGCAGGACTTTGAGCATGTGTCTAACTAATGTATGTCCTAATTGTCCTTAGTATGGCAGAGAGGAAGCTAACCTTTATGCCTTTCTTTTCCAGTACCCTAACAAATAATATTCCATATACTCATTAAGATTTACAGTACTGCTGCTTGCAGTATCTCTTGAATCTTCATGTGAGCATTTTCCATGGTCAAGGCCCTGATTTTCGATGTAGATTGTTGTTGTGTTTTGCCAGCTGGTGGTAAATGATGACTTGTTTTTCAAAAACCACTTGTTTTTGGAACGCCCCTTTTCAGCAGAGCTTCCTGAAAAGCACCATCCTCTGTGTTCAAAGTGCCTGCTGCTTCCTTCTTGAACTCACATGGATGCAGTGAGAATGTGAGAGCCATCAGGGCTGGGAAAGCCTGTTTAATTCTGATGCAGATTCTTCAGTTGGTTTGCCAATCTGCTGAAGCAAGTTTACTTCTGACTTCAGACTCTCTTAAAAAGATATAGGAAGAGGTTGCCCTGATTTTTAATTCAAATTTATTTGTGATCATATGTATATTTTTTCCTCTTATTTGGGATATCTAACAGCAAGCTCTGTTTCTGTTTGAAACTATCTTGAATGTGCTTTTTCCTTCTGTCCGTCCTAGGGCTGCTCCCATGGGCTGAGATGCTCCCCCAATGGCTTGTTTTAAGACTCGAGTGCACTCAGATGTGCAAAGGAAGCTTGCTGAGGGTTTCTGCACCTCTTCAAACCTGCAGCCAAACAGGGACAACCAAAACAGACTGCACAACTCAAATCCACGCACATCCCAACAGCCCCTTGCACACGCTCACGTGGGCAGAGCAAACAGCAGGGGCAGCCCTCCAGACCAGCCTTGTGTGCTGAAAATCATCATGGTCTCCATACCTAGCATGCCCAGATCGTTCCAGGCGAAAGCCTGGCACCGAGTCCCTGGCACAGTTGGCAGAGAGGGAATTCCTCTACGAGGAGTACAGCAGGATCAGGGGGAAGCTGGGGCAACCCTACCAACCCTGCTAGCTTTTCCCTGGGCGTTGGAGGTGCTAAGTGGGTCTCCTGCTCCTCCCCAGCCTCGTGTGGTGGGACTGGGTGTGGAATAGGTGTTGCCTCCCCACAACTTCTGCACTGGTGCAAATGCAGCCAGTATTACAAAAATCTAGGTTAACCATCCTGACCCTGTGGAGGCATCTGCTGCTTTTCAGACAGACATCAGAAAGGTCAGCTGCATTACTGAGAGGGAAAGCATTGTAAATAGCACAGCCCCCATGTAATCTCTTCCCTTTAATGCTGTTGTGTAATATTGTCAGGATTCATTCACTGGCACACCGGTAAACTGCTAAGGGAATTTAGAGCCGTAAAACATCTCCATTCATCAGCATTGCTTATCTCCTGGCCGCAGCTTGAACCCTGCAGTGTAGCTCTGTGCGGATGTCACCTGCTGTTACTCAGCTTGGCTGTTTGCAAATCTCTTCCTGCAATGGACTGACCCAGCTAAGGGGAAATCTAAGCATTTGGGGTGAACCCCACCGTCCTCCCAGCATGTCAGCAAACAGCACTTTTCAGTCTGATTTACAGCTCCTTGTCATGGGTCAGTCCAGCACATTCAGTCCTTAGCTGGCAGTTCTTCGGAGTAGCCTCCCCCACACCCTGAGCTTCCCTTTGCATTGAGGAAAATGTGTGTGATATAAAATAACCCTTATTTAAAAGTTAGAATTTTGATTATCTCTTTCTTGCCCTCTAGAAATGAGTAGTCTTCAATTTCCTGAAGATAGCTGAGTTGCTTTTCTGCGTGCTTTTTCATCATGGCTTGCTTTGTTATCCTGCTCCACCATTAGCCACTGGATATTTGCAGAAAAGGATCTTTGAAGTGTTATTAGGAGGCCTGCCCTCTCCTCTCCACTGGCCATCAGAGGTGCAGTTTCTGGTGGCAGAGGTCTCTGGGTGGCTCTAGCTGGGACAGCAGAAACGTGTGCAGCCCAAATGGGCTGTTTTCCCTCGCTGCCCCCTCACCTAGAGTGGGCTGGCTGGGATGCATCCTGGCCACCCACGCTGGCTCCGTCCCAGTGCTGCAACGGCTTCAGCCTTCCCAGGAACACAAGACAGAGACCTCAGCATACAAAGTCAGGGAGAGTGCTGGCTGGCTCGGAGGCTCACCAGCAAAGGCTCTCAATCTTCAGAATCTCTCTCCTGCTCTGCATTCTTCCTTTTAATCCATACTACTTGAATGAGACCATTTTCCTGGAGGCTCTTTCCTGCTGGGAAGAGACCAGCTGCTGTGGACACTGATTTGACACAATTCTGAGTTTCATAAACCCTGAGAAACACTAAGCAGTTGCTGACAGTCTGTTAAATAGCTTTTCTTGGGATTAAAACTGTTCCCTCAACCCCAGCGAGGGCAATCTTCACTTCAAAAGGGAGCAAACAAGAAGTGGGAATGATGTGACTGTCTGTGGTACTACCTTTGTGGACCTTCCTTCCTGTTGTCTCTTTGCACTGTAAAACTGCGAGGTTTGATGCATTCTTCTCCTTTTCAGGAGTACAGTCTTTGAGAAACACCCAGTCTTTGGCCCAGGGACATTACAGAGAGACTGAAGCACCCCAGTGGTGTAGCGTGCCTGGCCCCAGCAGTATCAGCGCCTTTGCTTGCTAAGTACAGAGGCTTTCTTTTCACACTGCTGTATTCAAATACCTCTCTGCAATTCCCGTCTTGAGGTTACACACATGGTCTGATTACTTTTGCTCTTTTTCCTTTCTGTAGTTATCACCCTCTTGGAGATCCTTTGGCTCCTTATTTGGACATGTAAAACATCTAGCACATTTATTTCAGCCTTGTATTTCTTTCTGTAAATAGATCCTCCTCACACAGAACTCCCAATGAAGTCAAAGAAGCAATGCTAATTGCCACTGGTTTTTAAATGCTAGTAAGTCATCGGTCACACTGATGTCAGCAGGGTGAAGCTGGTGTAGAAATGGCGGGTTGAGAAGAACAAAGCCAGAGGATTTTAACAGCTTTACTCCTACTCTACCAAGAAAATTGTATTCGTGCTTAATACCTGGCTTTTTACTCCATACTAAGGCAACTGTAAGACTGATTGGTTTAAGAATTACTCTAACATGGCTTTTAAGTAGATTGCTGAAGGTTTCCTGTTGTAATCAGTGGAGGTAATTGATATATTTTTGCACAAGTATATAAAATTCCCAGGACAAAGTTTGCAGAATTTTGTAGTGGCTTTTCAAAGCTTTCCAGTCCTGTAGTTTGACACTAACACCTGTATGTTTTCAGCTTGCTATCATGGTAATCTTGGAAGCTGTTCTGAAAGAAGCAGATCAAAGCAAACAGCAACTGCAAAGCTCAGTGACAGGTACCTCTTTCTCTTTGCTTGGTTTCTGGATACAGACAAGGGGCTCTTTTAAGCAGAGACATCATAACTGCGTTCTTGGAAGAGGATGGGAAGTTGCCGACTTCTTATGACAGAAGTCCTCCTGGGTACTTCTCCTGCCTTTTATCCATGCTTGCTCCTTTTGTGGCCTTGAGTAAGTCAGTTCTTAAATATTCTGGGGCCAGGTCCTCATCTGGTGTAAAAAGGCACAAATATTTGAGAGCCAGTGCTATGCCAAGTTACAACAGGAGAGGACCAGGCCCTCACCCCATTTCTGAAATGGGGATATTAGCACTTACCTACCTCACAAGGATGCTGTGAGGATTAATGCTCATACAGCACTTTGAAGATGTAAAGTGCTATATAAGTCCCAAGTATTATCCTACCTTAGTGTTAAAAATGCTTTTAGGGATCTGCAGGACTTCTCTTAAAGCATGGAATGTGTGACTGCCTTTTCAATTTGCATCAGATGGAAAGCAAATGCAAAATATTTATTCATACTGGTTAACAGGATGGGCTCAGCTGCACTTGAACTCTGAGGAGGGTTTAGCTTAAAAGTTTGAACTCTAATTTCAGGTTTGCAAATGGTTTTTAGTTCTTCTAAAAGCCTCAACCAAATTTTTAGATGTGAACCTTACATCCAAATTTTGCAGTATGGTCTTATCCCTGACTGTTAGCTAGAATAAGTATAATCCAGCCAAAACTGTGCTGTCACAGTCTGCTGTGGCTGTTGAAAAGACTGGAACAGAAAATG